ACAAAGAAACACGCTATCCACAATTAACAAATCTACAGAACAAAACAAAACAAACAATCAAATAAATAATACATGACAGGTTACACACTCAGTGCGCCCCTTTGTTTAAAGCAGCAATAGCTGCAGGGATCAGGCTTTTCCCATAGCGAGCTTTCTTGCACCTCAATGTTCGGTACCTCCGTCCAGAAGGCAGTGGGGTGAGATATTGATTTAGTGGGTGTGTAATGTCCAGTTCTATTGTGGTTGCAATGTGTGAGATGGCCCTGTTGTTTAGTTCTGTGAGATTGGGTGTGGGGAGTCCGATTATCTTGGCCGCTGTGTTGGTGATGCGTATGAATTTGGTCCGGTTGGGGACAGTTAGCATATTGTAAAAACAGGAGGAGCAGTATATGAGGATGGGCTGGATGATACTTTGATACAGTAGTAGCAGAAGATGGGGGGAAATAAAGCAGAGTCACAGTGTGTGCTGTCGCAGCAGAGCGTGCGCCATTTTACACCCAATCAGATGGAAAGTCAAAGTCCTGTGTTAACTTGATTATAAGGCAGATCTCAAGATGAGCAGCAGGAAGCCTGAAGGGGCTGCTGTGTGTTCTTGTGCTTATGAGACTGACTGAAGATGGATGGACAACTAATCGTGCAGTAACAAACATTTTCTGGGATTTTTAAGCAAACACTCTGTCTTTTCTCATCCTCAGTGGGCTGATAGACCCTGCACTGTCTCACATGATTAATGTCCTCAGGTCCAGTAATTTCTATGCAAACCAGCAGCATCACACTGAAGTTTACATACAATTTACATGATCCTTGCTGTCACTATATTTCTGCTTGCAGCGGATACAATATGTGAGTGAATAAACGCATAAACTAATGGTGCAGTAAAACACTGCAATCAATTGAAAACATGATAAACACACTGTCAACATGGCACAGAAAGCAATATTCCGATTGCTCCTTTGGTTTCAATGGATGCACATCATCATTGTTATTGCAGTGCTGGTTGTAATGAATATCATTATCCATCATTCATGTTAATACATAGAGAATAATTATCCTGGTCATTGTTTGAAATTATAAAAAAAATGTACATAATGTTTTAATACCAAATTGTTGTCAAAATAAATATTTAGACGGCAATAGTTTATAGGAAAGAAAAAAAGCAAAGGTTACAGTTTTTTATTATTGAACTGTAACTGTAAATGTAAAGTTTCACTTTCAAAATGTTACAGTTGAGTGTGTAATAAAGTTAAAATATCATATGTAAAGCAGAGGTGATTTCAGATATGTTTTCACTCTGCAGATATAAAAACAGTCAAAAGACTCTTCTATTGGCTCCTGTTAGACCAACATTGAGGCTTCATATGTTTGATTCTATGCAAACTCAGTGACCTTCCTTGTTACTCAGCTATAAAAACTTCCCATCAGGCTGTCAGTGGAGTTCACAGCACGTCAGTTTCAACATAAACTATGTTCTCTGTAGCTCTGCTGCTGCTGTTGGCAGCTGGATGTGAGTCTCTCTGGATTTGTCAAAGTCAACAGTTCTTCTTTTGCAGTATAACTTGATCATTTGTTACAAAACATTTTCTTTTTTAACAGGTGTGAAGTGTGAACAGTTGACACAGCCAGCCTCTGTGACTGTGCAGCCAGGTCAACGTCTGACCATCACCTGTCAGGTCTCTTATTCTCTGGGCAGCGCTCCCACAGCTTGGATCAGACAACCTGCAGGAAAAGGACTGGAGTGGATTGGAAGGGCAGGTGATGGATGGAACACATACTACAAAGATTCACTGAAGAACAAGTTCGGTATCTCCATAGACTCTTCTAGCAAAACAGTGACTCTAAACGGACAGAATGTGCAGCCTGAAGACTCTGCTGTGTATTACTGTGCCAGAGAGACACAATAACACAAACCATCAGTAGACCTGAACAAAAACCCCTCAGTGCCTGAACACTTGTAACATGAAGCCACCAGAGGAGGAGCCCTCAGACCACTAATGATTTCAACACCAGTTCACTTTTACAGTGAAGAGAGAAACAGTCTGAGGCACACAGAGCAGAGGCAAAACTAAACACCACACTATACTCGTAACACCCCCACCCAAGTGCAAACTGTTTGTTAAAGGGGATTAACAAAAACAGTATATTAAAAAATGAATGAGCAGCATAGTCTTCCTGATTGAACTTATGCTCAGCTTCATACCAATCACTGGATGGCACACACATCTTGCAGCAGCACAGCACCAGCTCCTGAAGCACTAGCATCAACAACTAGTTTGAAAGCAAGAGAGAAGTTAGGCACAGTGAGGGCAGGTGCACTGCAGAGAAGAGACTTTGCTGCATCAAAGGCATATTGACAGTCATTACTCCACACCACAGGAACACTAGGGCTACACAAATTGGTAAGAGGAGCAACCACTACAGAGAGGTTTTTGCAGAAACACCGGTAATAACCAGCCATGCGTAGGAAACGCTGTAGTCCACACCTAGATGTGGAAATCGGACAGGACAGCACGGCCGAGACTTTGGCATCTACGGGGTGGACCTGCCCATCAACCCAGTATATAATGGTGGCTTTACCAAATTCTTACTTGGTTATACTATACTCGTAACAGTATCCTGTCAGGGTTCTGAGGGGAACAGAGAAGCAGATCGGACAAAAGGTTGAGTTTAAACGGTTTATTAGACAACGAGTGAATAGTGAAAAAAAGGGGAAGCTGGCAGGCGAGAGTGGGAGTCCAGAGGTGGGGGTGATCCAGAGAGTGGCTGGCTGGTAGACCTGGAGTGTGGGGATCCAGTGGCTGGCTTACAGGAGGCGTGGGCTGAGTGGACAGGGTTCCAGAGCTGAGTCCCGGGAATGATTCCTGAGGCAGAGAGACACGGTTAGTTGCAGACAAAAACAGACAGCAAGAGAACGGCTCAGGCAGGCAGAAGCAGACAGGCAACAAACAGTAGCAACAATAAATAACTGGCTGGAAAGCAGTAGCACACTCAATACTTCACAACAATCCAGCATTGACTGGATGTGTGGCTGCTCCCTAAGTACTGCTGAAGACTGATGAGGAGCAGGTGTTGCTAGAAGAGTGACACAAACACCACAAGACAACACAAGACAACACAAAACACCCAAACAGTCATCACGGCCAGGGATTCGTGACATATCCATTAAGATTCTGATTACATTTCAGGTCTTTTCCAATAAAACTTGCAAATTGTTGAATACTTCTACTGTTTATAAATGAAATATAACATAATATAATATTATTCTAAAGTTATTCATTATGAAGTCGAGATATTGTGTCATGATAATAATTCCAATGTAACTATGGCTGTTTTGAAAATGTGTATGCTGTTTTATTAACAGCTGATGACCAAGTCCAATCTACATCACTCCTCCCTGTGAGGAGGAGTCAATGCAAAACTCAGATGTCTTCCACCTCTACTTATCTGACTGCAGAGAGAATGACAGACAACAGTGGACACACAGTTTAACATGATGGCCATTGTTTTGGGACCAGATTCTCACCAGTAAAGATGTTTTCTATTTTCATTCTGGGTTCTGAGTGCCATTAGACCAACAGCATGTGCTTACACTTAACCTAATGAGACTTAACAATGGTGTTCTTCATTAATCTTGCTTACCTCACTCCAGGACCTCATAGTCTCTGACTAACTACACAAAATTTAAGCCACGTTCATGAAAACTACATAAATGTTCCAGTTTAATTATAAATTAAGGCCTACTCCGTGCTTAATCTAAGCCCTGTCTGTGAAACTGGCCCTGAGACTATAATCTCAGGAAATGAACATTTTGGGCCCACAGTCGAGCAATCTTGACATTTGCACATTTTAAAGAACATTTTTGTATTATTAGAATAAATGTGGTTTTCAGTTTAGTGGATCAATGCAAAACTAGGACAGGACTACTGCTGTTAACTATCTGCTGGGCAGGTGAACATCTTCAATTATTTTGACTTGATATATTTTCATTTTTACTACCAATGTAACATATGACATGCATATCTTTCTTGGTTTGACAGGTGTTGATGGTCAGACTCTGACAGAATCTGAACCAGTGGTTAAAAGGCCTGGAGAATCTCACAGATTGACCTGTACAACCTCTGGATTCACATTCAGCAGCTACCGTATGGCCTGGATCAGACAGGCTTCTGGAAAAGGACTGGAGTGGATTGCATATATAGGCACAGCTAGTACTCCGATCTATTACTCCCAGTCAGTCCAGGGTAGATTCACCATCTCCAGAGGCAACAGCAGACAGCAGGTGTATCTGCAGATGAACAGTCTGAAGACTGAAGATTCTGCTGTTTATTATTGTGCTCGAGTTGTGCTCTACATTATGTTCAAATGGAAAATAGTTGCAGTCCCTCCTTTAGAACTGTAGAGGGCAGTCAAGGACCAACTGTGTTCTTAATGCTGAGCACAGTAATGTTAATGTTAATAATAATATGGAACATAAATGTTTAATAATGTTATATGTTATAAAGTTTTTTTTCTGTCAGAACATATGCAATTTAGGTAAAATGGCTATTCCAACTTTTTCATGTGTTATATGTGTGAATGTGTGTGTCTCTAAACATGTTTCAGCCTTGTTCAGTGTGCGCAAAGAAAAGCTGAGACCATGAAGAATACAAGTGGTTTGGAAGATGGATACCATCCAAATCATATGTTGCTTATACTGTTTGTATGTTACATACTGTATGCTCAGAATCTGGCACCAAATGTTGGATCCAGTCGTTTCCATTTATGGTCTGTGTCTTGTCCAACCAACCTTAAAACCTCAATTAAAAACACATAAGACGCAAACATTGGGCAAACACTCCTCTAATGGCTATCTTTATACAACCAACAAAAAGTATTCCCTCAGTAAGTAGATCAGATCCCTTCAGTCAATAAATATCACTGTTATACTTTTTACTTGTTCAACACCATGAGGAGGAGTCAATGCAAATTTGGATCTCTTCCATCTTTATTATTTAGCTCACTGCAAACTGGAGACACAGCAAACCATCATCCAGACACACAACACATTTTCACTATGACTTTAACAGCATGTATACTGTTTCTGATGGTATCACTGATTTCTGGTGAATACACAATTCTGCCCTCTTCTTTGTCTGTGTCAAGGTTTGCTGTTTGGCTGTGTTCTGATCAAACTGCTGTTCTCCCCAGGTGTTTGCAGTCAGACTCTGACCGAGTCTGAACCAGTGGTGAAGAGGCCGGGAGAATCCCACAAACTGACCTGTACATATGCAGGAATATCAGATGACGATGCTGATATAGGCTGGATCAGACAAGCTGAAGGAAAAGGACTGGAGTGGGTTGCCTACATTTCTGCTCCGAGTGGAAGCACTAAAGCTTATTCCACATCAGTCCAGAATCGCTTCACCATCTCCAGAGACAACAACGTGGACCAGGTGTATCTGCAGATGAACAGCCTGACAACTGAAGACTCTGCTGTTTATTATTGTGCTCGACAGCCACAGTGGCACAGGAAGCCACAGAGCCGTACAGAAACCACTACAGACAGTCACTGATAGAAAATAAAACCACTTTGTTCAAGTTGTTTTTAAAATAACCCCGAATTCAGAGTCCTTGATCAATCTCCACACTGTGCTGCTCTCTCATCAGGATGATCATCTCTTCTAGTGAGGCTGAGCAGAAATGTATCTGTAAGAACAATAACATTATCTTAGCCTTTCTTGACTCAATGTAGACTGATGGCTTCCAAATGGACCAAATTTAAAGGAGCTCTAAATTAAACATTCATCATTGCTGTGATGTTTCAATTTGTATTTATCAGCGTGATAACAACATTAATTAATTAATGTCATTAATTATATCACATTTGTCATTGTTTCTTTAAATCTGTTTTTCCTTGAGAAGTTTAAAATGTTTTCCTAAATATCGTATACTTATACTTACAATTACTGTTGTTGATTAAACAATAGCTTTTTTTAAATTAAAATAACAGATTTTGAAGACAGCTAAATCCTATATTAAAATCAATTTAATCGGTTGGTGTTGCATTAAAAAATAGAAAATAAAAATGAAAAGAAATAACCTAAAAACACTGATAAACTGGTTGAAAAACAAAGTTACACTCACACAATATTTCTATTTGGAATATGAGATTGTGTTTATAATTTTTAATGAGCAGATAAATGTTAGTTCATTAGTAGTTTAATGTAACAGCACATATGCAAATGTTATCTTAGAGTAAATCTTTCTTTCTTAAAAAGTTTTTTTCGTTCTTTTCTCTCTACCTTTCTTGGTCTCTTGAGATGACAGTGTTTAATTGATTTAAATAAAAGATTATTCAAGATGCAAATAAAGGTTACTTATAAGGAAGTGAAGTGTGTGTGTGTGTGTGTGTGTGTGTCAGTGAGAGGACAGAAGAGCTCACATCAGTTCAGCTTCACATGTTCTCTGTAGCTCTGATACTGCTGCTGGCAGCTGGATCCTGTGAGGAGCTTTCAGTGGATTCACACTAATAAACACATTAGAAACACTGAATAGTCAGATGAATGATGGAGATAATGTTGATTTCTGTTTCCACAGGTGTGAACAGTATTGATCTCATCCAGTCAGACTCAATGGTTGTGCAGCCTGGACAGTCCTTCACCATCACCTGTCAGGTCTCTGGTTATTCTCTGACTGATAACAGCTATGCAACAGGTTGGATCAGACAGTGTGAAGGAAAACCAATGCAATGGATTTGGCATCGGTGGGGTGCAGGTAGCTTTTCTCAAAACAATGCTCTGAAGAACAAGTTCCTTTACAAAACACACATTTCTACTAGCTCTGTGACTCTAACAGGACAGAATGTGCAGCCTGAGGACACAGCTGTGTATTACTGTGTACGTGGCTCCACAGTGATACAAACCACCAACAGACCTGTACAAATACCTAGAAACATATGTGGCCAACCAGTAACACATTCTAATAGAATAATTGATCACTGAATTCAATTTCACACTATTTTCATTCCATTTTACACAAATAACAATAATATTAATTAATATTTATAAATATTATCTACCTTATTTTATTTGTATTGTATTTGCCATGCTTCTACAGTAGCCCCAAACGGACAGGGCAAACACTGGCCGTATACAGGGCCTTTTGCATTTTTTTGCACGTTTCACGGCCACCGTACAAAATAAAGTCAAAAGGAGAAACTCAAAGTTTGATTTTTTGTTTCAACAAATAAAAATAAAAATATCACCAGTCCAGTCTAGTTATCTCCTCCCTGTGAGGAGGAGTCAATGCAAAACTCAGATGTCTTCCACCTCTACTTATCTGACTGCAGAGAGGATGACAGAGAACAGTGGACACACAGTTTAACATGATGGACTATAGGACAGGACTGCTGCTGTTAACTATCTGCTGGGCAGGTGAACATCTTCACTGAACTTCAGTTGACATATTTTCATTTTGTGCTGCCAATGTAACACATGACATGAATAGCTTTCTTTGTTTGACAGGTGTTGATGGTCAGACTCTGACAGAATCTGAACCAGTGGTTAAAAGGCCTGGAGAATCTCACAGATTGACCTGTACAGGCTCTGGATTCACATTCAGCAGCTACTATATGCACTGGGTCAGACAGGCTTCTCCTTGCCTGGGTTTAATATGATAATGACAGAAACGCTACTCTCAGTCAGTTCAAGGCCGGTTTACCATCTCCAGAGACAACAGCAGACAGCAGGTGTATCTGCAGATGAACAGTCTGAAGACTGAAGATTCTGCTGTTATTATTGTGCTCGAGACTCAGTGACTGGAGTTGGTTGAGCAGCTATACAAAATCCTACAGTACTCATCTTGAAGTACTTTTGTATTAATATTATATGTTGATATTTTTTATATTCAGTGTTTTAATATATTTTTATTATATGAATTGACAATTGTCCCTGCATTATACAAAGTCCAGAAAAGTGTTACTTATATTTAATTACTGAATATTAAATGCATCCAAAATACACAATACATCACTTGTTGATATTACGGACAACAACAGCAAATCAAGACTCAATAATGTCAGTAAATCACGTGGAACATAAAGTGAGTCAGAATATGAGAGTGAAAATAATGTTGAGTTTCTTAAAATCACAAGAGGGCAACTTTCTCTCTCCTCTGATACTAAAAGGAGACACTCAGATCTGGTAAAGACCTGAAGATGAACAGCAGGAAGCCTGAAGGAGCTGCTGTGTGTTCTTGTGCTTGTGAGACTGATTGAAGATGGATGAACAACTAATCCTGCAGTAACAAACATTTTCTGGGATTTTTTCAGCAAAAACTCTTTTCTCATCCTTAGTGGGCTGATAGACCCTGCACTGTCTCACAGGATTAATGTCCTCAGGTCCAGTAATTCAAATGATACAACACACACATATTTTATTACCACTGATGTCTGAATGGATTTAAAGTTGTATTTCATTAGAAATAATTTGATACAATAAAACAGGAAATATATTTTAGTTATTTAGCTGTTCCTGGTCACTAATAAATAAATGCAAAATAAATACAATAATAACAATAATATATTAAGCAATAATAGTAAACCCAGAACACGAAAATTTGATGAGGACTTATTTCTGACACAACCACACACAGATGAAGGTAAATTTGTTAATAATTGGCCTTCAACAGGTTACTTGTGAACTACCTTAGTTTTCATCGAAGCTACATAATTTAGTTTTTTGCATTTTGTCACACAGGTTTCAGTTCCTGAGCAGCTGTATTCCCCTCGAGGCTTTCCAAGTATTTTATGCAAACCTGAAAACCACCAGCATCAGACTATTTACATGATCCTGGCTGCTGCTATTTCTGTTTGCAGCAAATACAGTCAGCAAGTACAGAAAGTGAGCAAATATATGAATAAATAAATGCTGCAGTTACAAAAGGCTGTGCTCAGGTTTTTAAGTAATCATGACTGTAATGTAGGATGCAGGCTTGGGGGTTTCCATCTTCTTTTCAAAAGTCACGTTGTTTTGTTCTCTTGTAGAATACACTTACATCAATACTTCTTATTGGTTTTGTTGACTGATTTTGAATTGTTTTTCTCTTGTCTTTATTTGTATAGTTGGTAAGGTAATCCAAAGTTAGTCAAGTCAAGTAGTCAAGTTACATTACTTTAATATTGTGATAATTGGACTAGGTTACTGACTATATTTTTACAGGTAATCAGTAATTATATTGGATTACATTTTTAAAGTAACCCCCCAACCCTGGTAGGGGGTGCTGACAGTAAATAAATGATCTCAGGGAAACAAAAAACATGATAAACATGTCGTATAGAAAACAACATTATTTGTGATTGTTCTTTTTGTTTCCATGGGTGCACATCATCGTTCTTACATTAATGTATATGTTCTGCATCATTATTAATGTTAATATTAGCATTAATAAAGATCCTTATCATTGTTTGCAAGTGTACAAAAAATTACAAAATGTTTCAATATTGACTTGTTTAGATTTAGACAGTAATAGTTTACAGTAAAAGCAAAGAGACATTTTCAAAATGTTAAATGAAATTAAAATACCATATGTAAAGCAGAGGTGATTTCCAGGCATGTTACTCAGCTATAAAAACTTCCCATCAGGCTGTCAGTGGAGTTCACAGCACGTCAGTTTCAACATAAACCATGTTCTCTGTAGCTCTGCTGCTGCTGTTGGCAGCTGGATGTGAGTCTCTCTGGATTTGTCAAACTCAACAGTTCTTCTTTTGCAGTATAACTTGATAATTTGTTACAAAACATTTTCTTTTTTAACAGGTGTGAAGTGTGAACAGTTGACACAGCCAGCCTCTGTGACTGTGCAGCCAGGTCAACGTCTGACCATCACCTGTCAGGTCTCTTATTCTCTGAGCAGCTATGCCACAGCTTGGATCAGACAGCCTGCAGGGAAAGGACTGGAGTGGATTGGAGGTGCATGTGTTGGATGCACAACATATTACAAGGATTCACTGAAGAACAAGTTCAGTATCGACTTAGACTCTTCCAGTAACACAGTGACTCTAAACGGACAGAATGTGCAGCCTGAAGACTCTGCTGTGTATTACTGTGCCAGAGAGACACAATAACACAAACCATCAGTAGACCTGAACAAAGACCCCTCAGTGCCTGAACACTTGTAACATGAAGCCACCAGAGGAGGAGCCCTCAGACCACTAATGATTTCAACACCAGTTCACTGTTACAGTGAAGACAGAAACACACTTCAGACTTCATGAAAATGTTCTTAATTACACAAAAACAACAGATTTCATCATTTTAAATACTATTAAATATTAAAATTTTTAAGTAATGCAATGAATTTATCTGACAACTTTGCTTTTCATACTCGTCATCTGACAAGAGTCTCTGAAAAATACAAAAAAGATCATTATCACAATTAAAGCTGCATCATGAAGTGAGTCAGGAGTCTACACAACTTCATCGAGATGTTAATTAGTCAAACTGGAATCAATAGTGAGTTCATCAGCAATCTGTAGTGTGTTTGTCAGAGATGAAGAAAAGAGAACAAGTTTTACCTTCTGTGAATGAGGACAAATTCCTAAAGTTTTCATACTAATTTTGAGTTATTTAAATACACGTTAGTCAGCTGCAGTTGGACAGAGAATCAAATAACATGAGAATTTAAGTGCCAAATTAAATTATTTGAAGTTATATCACAGATAAAAAAATTGAATTTTCTTGTTCTATGTTCGTGTCCTCTACTTTACTTGAATGCATTTTTTAAATGGTGCCATCATATTTTAGATGTCCTTTTTCATAGACAGTCTTTGATTTTAGTTCATATAATATAAAAATCTAAAGGAAAAAAAACATGTCACCTGATGTTTTCAATCAGGATTTTGTCTCATGATAATTCAGTTGTGAATATGTTTAATAATGTTTGTTGGAGGATACTCTGATAAACCTTAAACACAACATTCAACATTTGACAGACATTTCAAATTAAACAAGTATTACATTCAGATTTGCCTGAATCAAATTTATTTGGCTGATGTCACAACTCCTACATTATCGTTTCTCAAGTGCAACAAACTAAAGACCAAACTTTGTCCTCCCTGTGAGGACGAGTCAATGCAGAACGTAGTTGTCTTCCACCTTTAATAATCTGACTGCAGACAGTGACAAAGCTTTTAGTTTTTACTGCAACTTTTGTTTTACACAAGGTAACAGAGTCTATATGTCTGAGTGGACAATTTATTTCTATTGACTGAAAACTGTTCTCAGCAGTTTTAAAAATAAAATAAAATAATAAAATAAAAATAATTGAAAAAGTGAAAGGAATACAACATGGTTCATTATAATATAGAAACATAATATCTAACATACAG